AACAAAATTCAAGCTCTTATGACGGACGAAAGCTTAGCACCTTTTCACCGAAATCGAAGGAGATTGCCTCGGAAACAGCGTCAGCATGAATCTTGCAGTAAAGCCAATCGACAGCTGGTCAAGCGGAATCCGTCACTGGTCGTCTTCTGGTGGAACCGACATTCGAATCTCTTCACGCAACACTTTCACTCGAACTCCGTCGCTGGTCGTCTTCTGGTGGAACCGACCTTCGAATCTCTTCACCCAACACTTCCACTCGAAATGGAACGGCCATCGTCTTCTGGTGGAACCGATCTTCCAATCTCTCCACGTAACACTTCCACTCGAAATGGAAGTAAGCTCAACATTTCACGAATCACTTTCAAGCGACTTTTGCCTCAAAATGAATAGTCGAGTCTAACGAAATGAGAGATGCGCTAACATCAACCTATTAAGGGATTCTTCGAAATCCATATTCTCTTGTGGCGCCAGTTTGGCGGAGGTCGGTTGCCATCTGCCAGCCTCAAAATTGAAAGTAAAACTCATAAAAGACTGCAAATGATAGCATCAGCGAGCTGGAATGGATCCACGTTCCGAAACCCCTCCGATCTGACGTTTCGACGGAACTTTCAGCGAACTTTCCAACAAGCCTCTTCAGGTCTGCTCGTGCCATGGCCGCTCCGGAAGACACAACATTCGCTCTCTCTCTCTCTCTCTTTCTCTCTTTCTCGATTTCTACCATCACCTCCATCCGATACGATCGAGACTATGCACAAAGGGTTTTTTGCATGCAGAGATTCTTCCGCTGGCTGATCGGTGGACGCACCGACCCATGACTACTCATCTTCGTGAACCCGAAGGAAAAAACCCGATCTGTGGCTACTTCTTGACATCCATTGAAATGAAAAAATAGTTGGGATCCGAAAAGGTCCCTAATAATTTTCCGTCACTCGACTTAATTTCAAGGGAAACATTGCGGTGGAAGGGATGCGACGCCGCATCCATCTGCATTTTTATTTTCTTTTTCAGCATCCGTTCTCAGGTCGGTTTCACTCTACCATACGTTGAGGAGGCCGATTACAACAGTGAGCAACTTTTGGCTATAAAGAAGTATCAAGTATTGTTGTCGTGACTACCAGTAAATCACTAGTATGAGATGTATTCACCCAATTTCGTTTAAGGTGATGAATGACTGGTAGAAGAAGAATTTTCCCACA